GTCTGTAAAGCGGGATTCACAGAAGCTTTTCTTGCAATGCGACACGCGATTCGACGGGATCTGCGACAGACGCGTGTGATGTTGCTGGTGTCGCTCTAACAGGGGAGATACTGAAGATAAAAGTCTCTACAGTTTAGCTTCAGTATCTCCCCTCTTAGAGCGACACCAGCAACATCTTTGCATACTTGTACACATGATCTTATTAGACCTGGCTCCCAAACATTTTGCAAACGGAAATTGCTCGCAATACGTCGCATGCAGTCGAGGGGTGCCGCAAGGATCCGTCCTCGGCCCCTCCTGTTCACACTATACATCCGTGACCTTCGATGCTGCTTGCCCCAGCAGGTCACAAACCAGGAATTTGCAGACGACATTGCAATTGAAGCCTCGGACAGTTGCGAACAAGTGTGCTCTTCTCTAAGCACAGCCATCACTGGCCTGTCGCAGTGGTTGGAGGACCGCGGACTAAGGCTGAACCAAAAGAAAACGCAAGCTCTGTTGATTACCCCAAGAGGCCCAGCCCCTGACACAGATAACATTCGAATTCGCTGTGGGAATGCAGTCCTTGCAGTTGTGGAACAAGCACAGTATCTGGACGTAATGGTAGATGGGCAGCTCTCCTGGGAGCCTCACGTCAATCACACAATCCAGCAGGTGCAGGAGTCAGTAGGTGCGCTGTGGCGGAGTCGCCGAAGCCTCACCCTGGCGTCAAAGATCCTGTTTTAAAGGTCGATGATCCAGGGTAGGTTGTCGTACGTTTCCAACGCCTTTTATCCGTCACTTCAAATTGGCAACATGGAGCCCCTCACACGTCTAACGAAGTCTTCTTCGGTCTGCCACCGTGGTCGCGCACGAGCCCGATCTTTGAACAGCTCCGCCTCACCACCCTGGAGGACATGTTTAACATTAACCTCCTCATCTTTGTCCGTCGTTGTCTGTTCTCCCGAGCTAGCTCCCTCTTCACGAGCTTCTTCATGAGAGTCATTGGTGACCGCACTCGGTGAGCAGCACATCACCTCGTTCGAGTACCATTTTGGCCCGGTCCTGCGGGTCGAGCAGCCATGCAGTTCATCGGCGCAGTCCTGTGGAACCAGCTCCCTCCTGATCTCCGTTCTGAGCCCAGCCACCTTCAGTTCTGTGCCCTGCTAAAATCGCATCATGGCTCCGTTTAAATGCTTTTCGGCTAGTGTGTTTCTGTGGTATAGCGGACTGAAGAATAGTAAACGTGTTTTGCAATATATGTATGAAGCTATTTTGTATATAGTATGAGGTTGATTGCTTATTTATTTCTACCCTTCCTCTCTCCATACTTCTGTCCCCCCCCCCCTACTCTCTCTCATTCCTTCTGTCGTCCACATGTATCAAAGGAGGCGAAATCGCCTGTTTGTGGTGCGGCGTTAAATAAACTTCTACAACACAACAACAACAAAGTATAACTCGTTTGTGTCCACCAGATCAACACGTCATTTCTTCTCATTACCCCTTGCCAATACCTCCCTGTTTCTGAAATCTTCTCTGCGTACACTCTCTGGTCTTCTCTGCCAACTAGCCTTAGAGCGTGCATAGACATTAAGGAGTTCAAGCTTCAGCTTCTTCGTCCTAAATAATCTCACCATTTTCGTCATGCCTCCCCTTGCAGTACTCTCTTTGTTTCTCTCCTTATTATTCAGTTCGGCGTGGTTGGCTACGACCCGACTTCTCATATATTGACAGTCTTCTGACGAGCCAGGAGATGTTGAGTTAATAATAATAATAATAATAATAATAATATTAACTGGTTTGAGGGAAAGAGACAAACGGGAAAAGTCTGAAGAAAAAATTGTTATAATAATAATAATAATAATAATAATAATAATAATAATAATAATAATAATAATAATTTGGAAAGGATTGGGAGAACTTCAAATTCGAAGGATCAGTCGGGGAAGTGAACTGCCTGAAAAGAGAAAAAAACGCCAGACCCACCAGGACTCGAACCTGGGACCCTGCTTGTCCTGAGCAATGCTCTAACCACTGAGCTAAGGGACCAGGCTGAACCTAGAAGGCGCTGACAAGTTTTTCACTCCAAAGGCAGCTCACAACACGTGCCACACATACTGATGGCACTTGGGTCTTTTTCCCTCCCCCAGAGCATTGCTCATGAAAACCAGGGTCCCAGGTTCGAGTCCTGGTGGGTCTGGCGTTTTTTCTCTTTTCAGGCAGTTCACTTCCCCGACTGATCCTTCGAATTTGAAGTTCTCCCAATCCTTTCCAAATTGAATCACTTTCTTTCACCTCTGGTAGTTTCCAGAAACTGACCGTGGTTGGTCCCCTGGGGGAGGGAAAAAGACCCAAGTGCCATCAGTATGTGTGGCACGTGTTGTGAGTTGCCTTTGGAGTGAAAAACTTGTCAGCACCTTCTAGGTTCAGCCTGGTCCCATAGCTCAGTGGTTAGAGCATTGCTCATGACAAGCAGGGTCCCAGGTTGGAGTCCTGGTGGGTCTGGCGTTTTTTTTTCTCTTTTCAGGCAGTTCACCTCCCCGACTGATCCTTCGAATTTGAAGTTCTCCCAATCCTTTCCAAATTTAATCACTTTCTTTCACCTCTGGTAGTTTCCAGAAACTGACCGTGGTTGGTCCCCTGGGGGAGGGATAAAGACCCAAGTGCCATCAGTATGTGTGGCACGTGTTGTCAGCTGCCTTTGGAGTGAAAAAATTGTCAGCGCCTTCTAGGTTCAGCCTGGTCCCATAGCTCAGTGGTTAGAGCATTGCTCAGGACAAGCAACTAATAAAAGATATCCTGAGTGTGTACCTAAGAGAATAATAATAAAAGATAACTAGTGTTAATTGCACCACGCCTACCACTCGGCTACCTGTTACAGATACGAAGGCAGTGAAGAACATGGAAGAAATAAAAATGTGATATGGAAGAAATGATGAACAAAAAATCTTACTTCGAACCAATTTTCGCACAACTCTCCTCAGGAAGCCACGTTGTACTAATGAAAAACAATCCAGAAAGATACTAATAAAGAGAAATGGAGTGAGAAGAAACAACACCTATGAAAATGATTATCCTAGCACTAAGGTAAACGTATTCATAAGCCTAATCTGTGTGTCCACAAGGACAGCATTATTCGCTTGAAACTGTTTTAATAGCAGTTTGTTCTGTTTGTTTGACCCTGGTTTGCTATGGTGTCATATCTTGTGTCACAGTATACTAGTAGTCCTAACAAGTTCGTTGAGAGAGCATGTCTGAGGATACCAAAGTATGTGTGCAAGTGGATCACTCCGATTTCGCTCAAAATTTGCAGGTAGGTTCTCTTTGGGATGTGGATCGATTGTGGAAAGCCCTTGAAAAAGTTTCTGAAGGGAACCTTGAAATTTGGATACCCCTCAGAAATGGCCGAAAATCACATTATTTATGGGTCTAGAAACGAGTCACGCCGCAGCTTATACGAACAAGCTATGACTAAAACTGCATCAAGCCAACATTGCCTCACCTTAGAAAAGTTCCTGGAGCAGTACCGCTTAGCCACGCCAGGATCTCAGACGAGGTCAATCACCCCCTGATGCCACAAATGATCGTCTTGAAAATAGCCAATTTACAAGCGCTTGCGAAACAGCCAGCTACGTCCTTAATTGGCCAGAACTATACACCGGCAGATAGTAGAACACATCTTCTAGCGCTGAGGACATGTCCCCCATTCCTTTTGGCTTTTCTTGGAATAAACCCTTTTGAATTTTTCCACTAGTCCATGCTGAAATCAGGCCAAAGTCATACCTGCGCAGGAAAGCTCACCCCTCCGCGACGTCTCCTCAGCAATTTCTACTCCAACACAACTCCCAAGGCCGCAGAACAAAGTGTATTTTTGACTCTGACAAGGAAAAGCAGCGGTGATCACTTGCCGTGAGATCTCAGCATGTCGTCACGCACGCCAGCCAGTCTTCATGGCTTGCAGTGTATTCAGGAGTTCCTCAGGAAAGTATTTTAGGCCTTACCCTTTTTAACGTCTACCTGAGGGACCTTCCCCAGATTTTTTCACCCCAAACGCACCTTCTCCAGAAGATCATGACCGAAGTCCACTCGCGGACAGGTAACATGGCTCTTATGTGTCACCTTCCTTCCGGGTACTGCGGGACAGTCCTACATCCGTTTCTAGGGTGCCATTCTCTGGAATAAGCTGCCGGCTGAAGTTAGATGTATATCACCAAACGATGAATTCAAGAGCACCATCTGACTCTGTTTTGAGTCGCTTGTCCCTACCTCTTTGTGTTTTAGCCTCTAGAAGCGCTAGTTCTTCAGTTACCTGATTTTCTGCATGATTGCCTTCTTTGTAAGTTCTCAATTCTTCTCTGCACCATTGCCTTATGCTATATTTATGAGCACCATTGCCTTCAGGAACGCTGTATTTTTGTTCTCGCATCCTTTCTGGATATTTGCCTTCAGATACGCTTTATCTGTAATCGTAACTTAAAGTCTCATGCCCATAGATAAACATCAGAAAATTAATACTGAGTGAACAGCCAGTATCCGATTATGCCAATCATAATGGTCTTAGTTGTATCCGGGATCAAATTTTCACATAAAATGAAAATACCAAGATAAGCACGAGCTGAAAGTTTCAGCTGTGAAGGACGTTCGCGGATGTCCATGCATGTCGATGACGATACTGGCAAGACCATTGGACAATAAGGTCAAAAAATGATTCAAGGACGCAAAGCAACGATCCACACAACTTGCAAGGCTCAAAATATGCTAATATCAAGAAAAGGGGAGGCTATGCAAACAAGAATCATGCAAAACCGAACGTCTCAGGAAAACAGCACTGTACTTCGACTAAGACACTTTAGATGGACAATAAGCAGTGGTAACAAACAGCAGTTTTACACGTCAATCGTTTCGCCGTATAGATAAGTCACCTTCCACTCCTTATATTACTTCTATAACTAAAAATATAAATCAATTGTCATTACATCCAAGGTAATTTCAAATGTTGGGCATTGATTCACTCTGTGCAGCAAAATGGAATGCGTGTGCTCAAACCAGCACCAGCACTTGGCAAGTCGATTGGACTTTTCGATATGACCGCAAAACCTGGAAGGATGCCAACATATCCTGTCGGTCTTTTGGCGGATCACTGGCTACTGTCCAGACAATGGCTCAGCTGACATGTGCTAACCGGACTGCAGAAGGAACATCCGCTACGTGGGTAGGCCTGACTGGTACATGGAGCGCCGGAAACTGGAGTGCTTGGAAATGGGAAGCTGCATTGTCGCCCGTCACGGCACAACTTCCATGGGCATCAAAATTTCCAAAGAATCAGGATGATTGCATATACGGATACTATCAGCCAGAAATTTTCAGATTACGGACGTGGGACAACAACCATACACTTCGGTACCTCTGTCAACGATATGTGCCAAAAGGTAGGTGTATGGCCTTTCATAATGCCACAATGTGTTGTCACATTGTTTTTAAGCCTACTTTCTCTGTTATCAAAAACTTCGTGATGGATTACGATGGATATGAAAACGATTAGAATAAGCCAAGAACTGTTTGGGTCGACTGTAAACCACTCGACGAAGGTTTTCAGCCTATGTCCAGCATCCTTACAAGAGAAACTGTTGGCGGAATGACCACAGAGTTCATTTTGCGTGACTTTCGCTCGACTCATTTTTGACCGTACGCTGCTGTGGGCATCTGCTGCACTCGAGTCGTGATCTCTCTGGAGTCGTTGTCAGCTCTTTCAGCCTTACCTCGATTTCTTTGATTGCCCTCCACTCACGTTTGTTCATGCCGCCGTCGGGCAAGTTGGCGTTCAAGCTGCATGATCCGCCTTGGTGGCGATTACTCGTTTCCACCAGGGAGTTTTAACCCTCATTCCATGTTGACTATTTTTCCTACGGTCCCAGTATATTAGGGTCCTTTTGGACCCCAGGAACGTTTTGGGTGGTATTCTTGCAAACTCTTCATTTTATTTTATTTTTTTGCTGTGTAACCTTCCCATGGACCGATGCTTTGACCAAACTGCAGTTGTTAACAGCTCTTAAGTTTGTCGGGATAACTTTCAAGTTTTCAAAAAAAACACCCGAAACATTCCTGGGGTCCAAAAGGATCTCCATCTACTGGGAACGTAGGAAAAAAGTCAACATGGTATGATGTATTATGGCTGTAGACGAATATTTTCTTGTAGGGCCTCATACTTCAGTTGTCGGTGACCGTGGACATAAAATACCAAGCTATCGCAATTGTTGCACTTCTCTGTGTTCTACGTCACTGGGGACCCCGCCCGCATTTTCCGTAATAAAAGTGAAATCCATCAAGAACCTCTAACCCAGACTAACTATTTATCTCGGCTATTATGTTGTTGAAGAATACATGAAGTGTGAGGGAGAATTGATACGGCAAAGTTAAAGTATTTCAAAAATCATACCCCTGGGGTCCGTTTGGACCCCACAACCCGGAAGGAGGGGTTAACAATAATGTATTCCCTGGTTTCATCTTCACAGTCCACAACTCCGCGAAACGAGGAGTAAAGACACAGCCAAATTTATTCCGTTTTCCCAGAACGATACTCCGGTCCGCACTGAACAGCAGCGGCTAACAAGTCCTCTCGACTTTCCTTCGTCACGAAACTCACGTCGGCCTGCACACATCTTTTAAAGAGAGCATGTCTGAGAAAACCAGAGCATTTGGGCAAGTTGGTCTCCCAGATTTCGGTCAAATTTTGCAGGTAGGTTTGATTTGGGGTGTAGATCAACATTCCTAAGCCCACGCAAATACTTTTCGAGGGAACCATGAAATTGACATACCGTCAATATTGGCCCAATATTGGCAAGATTTATGGGTATAAAAAACGAGCCACGGCACAGTATACAAAAACAAGCTACGAACAAAACTCCATCAAGCCAACCTTATCTCACCTTAGAAGAGTTCTTGGGCCAGCACCACTTACCCACGCCAGCATCACAGAAGACGAGGGCCATCATCCTCTGACGCCACAGATTATCATCTTGAAAATAGCCAAATTACAAGCGCTGATAAAACAGCGAGATACGTCCTCAATTAGCGAACAGTATACACCGGCAGATAATAGAACACCTCTTCTAGTACTGAGGACATGTCCCCCTCATACTTTCTCCGGTTTTTTCAAAAACAATATTGAATTTTTCCACTCGACCATGCCCATATACGTCAAAACTCATACCGGCGGAGGAAAGCTCGCCCCTCCGCGACGTCTAGTCAGCAATTTCAACTTCAACACCACTCCCAACGCTGCAGAACAAAGTGTACTGTTGGCTCTTACAAGGAAAAGCAACTGTTATCATTGTTCTCTCCAAATGGCAAGCTTCTCCTTGCGCCACCAACATTTGTCTGTGCACAAGTTGCAAAAGTGACTGAAATTTTGTGTGAAGTTTTTAGATTTTACTGCAAGAGGAATGATGACATCACGTGCCTCGTGACGCAAAAATGCCACGTCTCATAGATCACGGTTCAGCAGTTGTTCCCAGTCACCTAGAACAAGCGCACCTGTACTTACATCGATCAGCCCTCGATCTAGGTGGGATTAAGTGCATCTTGACGCAGCTCAAGAGCACACATATGTCGTGTTGTAGGCCTTCTAGCTCCAGCCGGGACTTTCCCTCAACATGCAGCACAGAGACTAGGGTGAGTACTTTCAAATCACATTGTTCATGACTGAAGAAATTTGTCATGTGGGTGCGCCACATGCCCCATGCAGCCAGTGTAGGCTGGTCAACTCCAAAGGACCCTGATGATATGCTCGACGGTCATTCCTTGCTGTTGCAGATCTACTTCGAATCATCAGTATGTAAACTAGCCGTAGTTCCTGTTAAACAATGTTCGAGATGAGCGAGGCTATTGTGAAAAAATACATCCCTGTTCTTACTGCGAGAGGAAATATCTCGAAATATTCCTGCCAATGCAATACTGCTAGCGCTATAACGATAGTTTCTGCATGTTCTGAGCGGAGCATGCAGGGAATATAATGCATTTTACCTCCTCTATCATGGTCCGCTCCGAATATTGCCAAAGTAACGATCGTGATCGTGTGCATTTTGTTGTGAACCAGAAAGCCTTATTCTACGTCACTGGGCACGAGATTTCATGATTCCTCTTCCAGTAAAATCCAAAAACTATACCCACAAAATTCAGTCACTTTTGCGTACACATTCATGAAGAACTCTGTACGATGCACATCTACCAGGTATCTATATATTTCCATAAGTCTTCAAAACTGTATCCAGACTCATCGTTAACCTGAGCCTTCCTTAGAGACAAGTGGGTATAAAAGAGTTACTCCATTATGAGTGATGTACCAGTCACGCCCAGGATGTTTCTTTGTGATAATTGAATACGCCATTGTCTCATAACATGACGCCTCAGTGTTTGTGGTGCGAAAGCAGTTTTTGTTGTTGTTGATCTTTTTATCTTTAAACTGATGCTGTAGCCATCATCTATCCGAGTGATACTTCCCTAGATAAGCAAGCGAGAACCAGACTCCCGCGATTATACCCCACTGTAGAATAGTTGCACTGTCTCAGAGAGTCAGAGGGTAACAATCTCTAAGAGCTAGTGGATAAAAACAAATCCCTCTCTTGAGTTGTGCCCAACTAAGGTCCTGTGAATGTTTGGTTTTCTTTTGCTAACCAAGCGCCTGTGCAAGTTTGGTACTGTTTTTGCTAATGGACTTGTCCATGCCATTGCACTGGTGGTTCCAGGATCAAAGTTATTGTTGCCGTTCCTGCTGAGTCAGGAGCGTGTACAGCAAACTTTATGCTCCGTTTTATGCTTGATGACGCAAATGGACGAGCAAAAAACATATCTTCCTCTCTAGAATTATTTAATTTCTTGAATAGTACGATTACAGTGCGTTGCTTTTTATAATGATCCTTTCGAACATAGACATGCATGGGAGAAAGTATGATCCAAGTTTCAGTCTCTGACCTCTACTTTCACGCCGAATTTGATGGCTTTTATTTACCACCATGGAGCGGAGTTCTCACAAAAATGTTATTATTATTATTATGCTCTATTCGCATTAGCATCAGTGAGCTTATAAAGCTCACATATAGCCTTCGTTTAAGCCGCAAGAAGGAGCAAGTGAGCGCGAGGAAGCGCAATGCACACAGAGCATCAAAACAAAACAAAACAAAAACATAAACAAAGAGACGAAACAAGCTACTCTTGTTTCTACGACTGCTACTCACAATACTGCGGGTCCTCAAACCCACCTGCTCATTAGCGAAAGACATAGGCCATAGGGTTCAAGAACAGAACCACCATGGCTGAGAGGCGTCACTCTCTCATCCAAGCAACTTTGTGCACGGTAAAATAATGACACGGCCCCACTGCGCCAACTCTCCTACAGATACAGTGTACGTGTCATATCCAAATCCAACACAACAAAAATATTAGTCTTGAAATTATCTGATCGTTGAAATTTCAGATCCTGAGGTCTAAATCACTTACCGTCAACAATCAATTCCTATTTTCTGTTTCACGGTCGGTCCTACACTCCCTGTGCCACTTTAGCCTTAAAAAAATCTCTGCTGCGATAGCCAAGCAACATTGGGTGTGTATTTGCTGATGTTGTCAGTGATCAACAAAGAGCACCTGAACTGTGTCTTCCACAGGGCCCAGTGGGACCTAAGGGTTTTACATCCTTCAGTTCGGTGTCAATAGGTTGTGTGCGTAAACTGTTGGGTTCCTTGGACACCAGCAAAGCGACAGGCAGTGATGGAATACCCGCATTTCTTCTGACGTCCTGCGCTGATTTGCTAGCTCCCTCCTTAACATTGATATTTAATGCATCTCTTGCTGTTGGTTCTGAGCCAGACGGCATGAAGTTGGCACATGTCACGCCGGTATTCAAGGCTGGAAATCCTCAAGATCCGGGAAATTATCGCCCTGTGTCTCTCCTGCCAATTGTGTCGAAGCTGTTAGAACGAATTGTCCATAGACAACTATCCTCATTTCTGGACAAGGAGAATTTGTACCCTCCCTGTCAGTTTGGCTTTAGACGTCAACATTCAACGGAAGACGCTCTAGTTTTCGTCCCGGACACGTTTGTTCGCGCTCGCGATGCCGGACAAATTACTGGTGCTGTGCTCGTGGATATGTCCAAAGCATTTGACAAGGTCAGGCACCAAGTGCTCATTAATGATTTGTTTGAGCTTGGCATATCTGGTTCAGCATTAGTTTGGTTTGCCGACTATTTGTCCAATCGTCGCCAAATAGTGCACATTGCTGAGAACTATAGCCCTCCTTTCCCCTGCATGTGTGGCGTTCCCCAGGGCTCTGTTCTTGGTCCGCTGCTTTTTGTACTCTATGTTCGTTCGATCCAGTCCATTGTCTCCGAGTTTTGTGTGAAAGTTATTCAATTTGCTGACGATATTCTATTGTATGTTTCCGGTACGCAGAAGAATGCGCTTAGCAACTCCCTGTCTGCAGCTGTCTCAGCCATTAGTACCTGGCTGTCAAACCGCAATTTAATTCTAAATGCCCGGAAGACACAAGTGCTCTTCCTGTCTACGCCACATATTACTGACCACAAATTTGCAGTCTACTGTCATGGAGTGCAGCTCACGCAAGTGACATGTGCAAAGTACCTTGGAATACATTTGGACCAGGATCTTTCTTGGAGGACTCAAGTTGATTCTATGGTCACCAAACTTGCCAGTAAAATTGGTATTCTGTTCCGAAATTGACACAATATTCCGCTGACTTGCCGAGAAACCTTTGTAAAGTGCCTAGTGTTGCCAGATTTTCTATATGCATCAAATTGTTTTTCTGCTGGCCTTTCCTTAACCCAGTTAGGTAGGCTTGAACGAATGCTAAATCAAGCTTTGCGTTCAGTGTACGATACTGTTTTTGTAGCCCATCAAGCCCTTTATTTGCGAGACTTGGTCTAGATCGTTTGGCATCCATGTATTGCAAGAAATTACTGTATCTGACGTGGCGCTGTTTGGAAGGCCGCTGTAGTGTCACATTACGTCAAATGTTCAAGCGTTTAAATAATGGTCTTGCAACGCGCAGCCTTGTACCACGCACTCTTAAGTTGCCCATGCTCAGGACTGCCTTTGCCCGTCATGGCGCTTCCTTCCAATGTGCTAAGCTGTGGAATGATTTGCACCCTCTAGCTCGCTGTGTGGATAACTCCGCCCGTTTTAAGAAACTGTTACCCCAATGCCTTGCTTTTTCACGCTAGTAATTATGACTTTCAGCTATGCAAAATGCGAACATGATCACCTATCCAATACCGGTAGTTATTATATTAATTATTCATATCTTTTTGCTTCTTTCCCTCGAGTGGGTCTATTGTTATTAGGCAATTGTCTGTTATAGTCACCACTATAAATAAAAAATTCAACCAATCAATCAATCAATTTCAAACACACAGCCCAAAAGTTTAGCCGAGAAAAATATTCGCGCAATAATAGTCGATTCACACCAGCGAAACTTGCAAGCAAACAAACGTGAGTTGAAAATTAAAATATTTGATAGTGACCGCCCAAATTATAATTTGAGACTTCAGTTGAGAGTTGAACAACCCCATTCCTCAAGTTTTTCTGCCTGTTGCTTTTGGACTTCCTGGAATTTTGTGTATTGAGCAATCTATTCCAGGTGGCTCAAATGTTTCTATACATGTATAATGTCAAACGTTTCATCATGGGATTGTCGGAATGCTATCTATGTTTTTGTGAAGATAACTGGTACGTGTGCTCCATGAGCAAATATCTTGGACCCATGGAGATACTTTACATTTCAACACCTAAGACATTTGATGAGGCCACCACCGAGTGCGCAGGTAGAGGCAGCATTCTGGCCAATCTCCAGAGCACAAACCATACAGAGTGCGCAAGGTCAGTGCTTGGACCACGAAATGGTCAATGCAACAGTTCCTCAAGCGATAACTGCAGGAATGCCTCTTCCGGCTGCGAATCCAATACTTGCAATGTGTGGGTTGCTCTACAAAGACCATCTAAAAATTGGACATGGTTGTTGCCTGTTCCATCCACACCGAGTACAATTCCCTGGAAAAATTCCATAACAGGAGTAAGTGGACAGCGAAAATGTGGTTACTTTTCACCTGAAGAAGACGGTTTCGGAATCGAATCTTGCACAATGAAGCTAAGTTTCTACTGTCAAAGATATACACCAAATGGTAAGGTATACTAGCTTGAACTTCACTAACGTGTAGTTGTCGGTGTAGCGTTAGTAATACTGGTTTAAGAAATAAGTGCCGAATTTCAACACTCCGCTCTTTCACGGACCTACAATACTATAGTATCGTATGCATTCACTGTGTAAAGAAGAAAGCAATTCAAAAATTATACTATGGGCAATTGGCAATAAATGAAGTTTCGAAAGGGTAATCCACTTTAGCCAATCCAATATGTAACTCGGCCCGTGACGTTTACAGCGACCACTACAACCATATCACCTCTATAGTGCTCACGATGTATTTATCCATCATACCCGGTATGAAGATGAAAGGAGATTGGCGCCACCAAAATGACTTAAACACAGGTCAGATAAGTAAACATTATATAACCAGAATCAGCGTAAGCGACATGTTACGTATGTGAAGTGGTGATGCACAAAGAAATCAAAGTATTGTAATGTTCTCTTTAGTTACGTTTGACAAGAAAACTCTCGTTGGTTCCTAACCCAAATTCACCTCAATCTTCAAACTTCATGTATCTTGATTCTAATTTCTAATTCCACTTTGTGGATTTCCCAAATTTCCGAAACTGAGATCTTCGCACGTTTAGTGCAGCCACAGATACTTCAGGCATGGATATCTGGATTCTGATTTGTTGGAATAATTGAGCAGCGGTGCGAAATGATGGTACAGCCGATTCTATAGTTACTGTATGCTCAAGGATCGTGGAGTGGGTGTCCAGCAGAGATTTATGGCGATAGTTACCAGGATCCTGCCTGCTTGACTTGTTCTTAATGTGAGCAGAACCACTGCATAATTACTCTCAACAGGATAAACCTCGGTGGATGGAGAATGGCTGATGATAAGAGAGAGGGGTTTTGGGATAGAAGGTGTTCTAGACTTCTAGGCATGATGTTTGTTATAGGTTTGCTGCACCAAAAAACTCACCGAACTATCGGCGACGAAAAAAATGTGTTCCTGCACGTTACCACACGCTCGTGTGTTCGTTCATCATCTTTCTCTTCAACCCGGTTGTCTGCTGTTTCCAAACTCCAATGCTCTTGGATTTCATGAATTGGATTTAGGAAATAAAACTCCACACATTTCGTCATCCCCTCCAAACTTCTCTTGAACACAGTCGGCAGTCCTCTAACTTCTAGGATATTCCGCAATCAAGCAGTAATAAGAGGATGCAAAAAGTGTTTTACCCATGAGTTTAACGCACTAAGCGATCATCAAAAAACAGTACCTATGGATACTCCGTAACTCTGGATACTGGTTTATATCCTCGAAACCCAAAATTGTGAAATTAATGACAACAGTAGTGAAACAGAAATTTTCATCGCAGCATGAATTTGAAAAGCTTGAACAATAACAGTGGTGGAAGAGACTACAGTCTATACTTCCAGCTGAAACGCTTTGCTTGGTACATTGACCGGTCCAAACAGGGAATTTTCTAGACCCGCCCTAACCGGTTTTCGGCAGGTTTTCGACCGGTTGAAGGTATTTGCGACCGGTTGAAAAGTTACAAATCAGTTCCAACCGCCCGTGCTTTTCTGTGGGTGAATGGAGCTGCTTATATCTTTGCTACACTTCAGCACCAAGAACTCTGTTCAATTGCTGTCGAGTGCCATATTTGGGTTGTATTTTGAAAAAAATTCCGGGGGGGACCCCTGGACTCTTCACTGAACCGTAACCGGTTGGAAATTCGTCCTAGAATATACCCTGCAAAGGTACACATTATGTTCTTTCCCATGTAGCGCCTTCCAATATAACTCTCAACTCCACGGCAACTGAGATCTCGGCAAGGATATTGCAGCCACACATACTTCGGGAGTGGATAACTGGATTCTGCTTTGCGTACGGGATAAACAGCACAAATTTTACGACTTCAGTCTGCGACACAAATGTATCCACGGTTTTCGGAAACCTAAGTTCCAACACGTTGTACCGAGTCCGAGCATTTTACAACACTACGATCGGAATACCCAGCAGCGTCTCTCCAGAAGTCTACATTGGAACATTGCCAAAAGGTAAGAGGTACATTACAAAAATCAGAAACGTATTACTATAAAAGGTCAATTATGTTACTAGAGGGAGATAGAAGAGGACTGCATTAATCATCCAATCCCAGCGACTGGAATTTTTGTATCATCACGGCAATGAACGTAAGCATACCAATTCCTTTGGGCTGATGTTCGCAAAAGATGCTCCATTGAACAATTAAATCATTGGGTTATTTTCTTTATAAATACGGTTTGGCTGACTAATGTAATTATTGACTCGGATGGAATAATTATAGCGTTACATGAAGTGTCTGGGTGCCTTTTCCTCCCTACAAGTGTAAGATTACGTGGAGATAGAAATGTAATTCACGCAATAAATAGAGTAAGCTGCGCACTCGGTACAAACACCATTAACAAAACTTGTTTTCAGTTGTAGAAGCTTGTTTCTTGGACGTTTTCGTGGCCATCTCTTCAGGAGGATTACTGCCAAATCAAATTTAACTCAAAACTCAATATATATGTAGGACTCAGTATAGAGTCCATGCACTATATGATGTCCAGCACCCTATATAGAGTCCATTGGTCCAAAATCCACTATACAGAGTCCAAAAGTCCACTCAGTTTTGATCAGCTTCATCCTGCCGCGCAATCCCCTATAAGGAGTACACTTTTTCTACAAGTCCCCTATTCACGGTCCAGGGGTCAAGTTTATCCAGTCACGCCGTCCTGTGTGTTGTGCCCGAAAGAGAACAAACACCTTTCCAGGGGTGAAATATATTCTGTGATCATAATTATAACAGAATTTGTGGTTAAATACACATTTCTTACTTTGTTCCTCGAAAATTCGTTTTGCCTGGGACGCTTCACAAAATAACGTTAGGAATCGCTCAATCAATTTTGTGCATAGTGAACCATGTGACCAATTCAGTTTGGTTGATAGCGATATATCTTAAGGAAGAAATGAAAATACACTTCGAGTATGTTATCCTTTGTTATATTTTGTTCTACACGAAAATATTGCATTGAAATTTGCACACCTAATGAGCCGTCACGAACAATACGGTGAAACGTACCTCGTGTGAAACTACTTTCTATCGTAGTAAACGCGTCCAGACTTGTTTCATGCATGACGACTACCCTTCGATATTGGCGTTAGGTTTTCTGCAACACGTTTTCGCAAAGCTCACCCTTTCTTTGTTTCTGATGATGCTGGCACACCTAATTTGGGTGGTGTGTTGCTTTACTACTTCGAATTGTAGTTAGACCGCATTGCCATATTTACTGGTCTCGTCATCGTCCTGTAAAAGGCAGCATTTGTCATCACCATGGGACTTAGCTTGTGGACATTTTCGGTGCGCTCACCTTCCCCTCATTTGTCCGACCATAACCTTGAGCCTCCAAACCTGGAAAGCTGTTGGTTTTGCGCACTGGAGATATGTCAGAGCTAGGCCTCAGGTCGTTGAATGTCACATTAACATGTCAGTTTTGTTCCCCTTTATCTCACTTTACTCTTGTAGAAAGTTGCTTCATACCTCGTTTCTATGTGATTTCGTCTATTTTCATTATATTTCTGGCTCAGAACTAGTATCACGACCGACAAGTTCACAGCCTTTGTAATGCTGACGGCAAATACAATGCTGTACTTAGTTTAACTCGGCTACATATTACAAATCTACTTGATATTGATGTGTTTTATATCAGCGCCAAATTCGTCACTCAACCTCTCCCTCTCAAGCACAACTGTGACCGCGTATCTAGGCCGAGTAGCAGAGGGCAACCTTCCCATACTCCAGTACTGTGTGTATGGAAGCCCTGCTGATGGTTCGTCTGGGAATATGACATTGAAACGAACATGCAACTCGTCGGGAACTGTCACCTTGATTGGCTTGGCACCAGACATGAGCTATGATGTCACCACCTATGTTAGCAATGCCTATGGAGACAGTAATCACTCCACCTCCACTCGTATAACCACATTGCGAACAGGTAAGCATGCAAACTTTTTTATGACTTGTATGTAGATTTGGAAGTAGTTCGAAAGCAGTTATTATTCGAGGCTTGGCAAAAACACTTTCACATCAATTATGCTCCTCTTCTTCCATTTTCAGTTTATAGAGATTCGCCAAGGGCATTACCAATTAACCCTTCCTCCACTGAACTCAATGTACGAGGAAAATATTTCCCTCAAATGTTAAGGTGGTGTGTGTTGTGTCCCCGGCCATGTGCATGGACAACAGGGTGGATGAGTTACACACTTCAAAGCAGGGTTTTATTCAGTATACTTATTTTAACGCTTTTTACCACTTCAGCGTACTGCCACCTGTCCACTAACGACCCGCGAAATTGGGTCATTTTTACTGAAAACACACGACCTCCAAAACGTCCGTAACTCTGGCATTCATTCTCCGATTGGCTAGACCTTGACCTTCCTGGAAAACTGCTGCAACAGGACGGGCGATTAACTAAAGCACAAGTCTCCACAAGGTCGTAGACCAGCTATAGAGCTAAGCGAATATGTTCCAAAGTCGAGAGGATGTTGCGAAAGACAAAGAAACTGAGCTTTCACCCGCCAGTCTACTGACTCTCCTTGATCGTATCGAGTTCCACTTGCTTTTGCACACTCCCGCGAGTTCACTGCAGTTGCCATGGCACAAAGTGGCAAAAATGCAGAAAGGATGCAGAAAGAATGAAAATCGAGCGCCCACACATGGCGCAAAAATACTTCTTCTCGCCGTTTGAAGCTCTGTAGCCGTCGAGCGCAATACCTCAATGGTCCTGTATCATATCGCTTCGACAATTGTTGCTATCGAAAGCTGAGAGGTTTCTCCTCGACATCCATACTTCGATTGTGAAAACGGAGTACGACTTGGCTGAGTTACGATTGTTTGAACGTGCGGGGCTCCTTAAAATTTTCATCAGTACACGATGTACACTCAGTACGTAAATATACCTTCTTAGCGATGACAGGGTTAAAAAGATATTCGGAAAGGGTAGATACATGAACATGTAGCTTCCATCGGTAAACTTGACATTGAGTCTTGTCTTGGGGTTAGATCGACAATGAAACCGTCCTTGCTCCACAAAGTACTTGCTGATGCCTTATAGGCCATTCACACGACGTGCAAACATTTGCACGCGTGTGACCAAGATAACACTGGCAAACTGTGATCCAGTTCACACGGTGCTGGGCAAACTTTGCAACCGTCAATGTATCCATAGTGACCTCCTAAAAATGCCGGGAAATGTTCAATTTTGAATTTTCCCTTGTTCAAGCACTGCATTTGCAGTACGCACTTTCAACAACCGACACTTTTCCTGGCGTGCAAAGATAATCGCGAGCAAAAGGGCCTCGGCCAAGATAAAAAATCAGTTGCTCGCGTGTGTCCAAGTTTATCGTATCCGAGTAATTATCCTTGGAAACAGTACGATAAAAGTAAGTTTGCCCGTCGTGTGAATGGCCTATTAGAGAGAACACATCATACAAAGGCAAAGTACTCCTTCAATATAAAAAACCCGAATAACTCTTTTCGTCTAAATAGCTCATATTCTTTTCCCTAAATAATAATTATTATGTTATCACCCTCTTACTATTAGGGAGGTTTAGTTCCCTCGTAACGGAACGCGTACGTGAGTGATACACGCAAAGTGGATGAAGGGCACCCACGTTGAAATTTTGTGTTTAGTCACACGGAACAAACAAAAGCATGAAGCGAAAGGCCAAAACCTGGTAAAGGATGAAGCTACCCGGGCCTAAGAAGCTTATATAATATTTTGATTTCGTGCTTCGGAAACTTCTTCAGCTGAACACTCTCACAGCTTGCACAATGCGCTCCATTCTGATTTTCACCCACGTTCTGGCGGAACGTGGGTGCGCCTACATACACGGTATGTCGTGAATCAGAAAACGTCTGTACGTGGGTCACTGAGTATCACGTGGTACACACACGTAAAGTTCCCACGGATTACGTGAGACTTTATATATTTATTTATTTCACTCAACTCGTGGTCTATGACCAATTGGCACACAAAGTGCGAGAGAAGGGTGATAGCAATCCACGGCGAGAAAAGAAAAGAAAGGAATAAAGAAAAAGAGAAGAAAGAAGGATAGACAAGAATCCAGCAAGAAGATCCTATCATACTATCGTACTATATTATGCGATTAGAGTGCATTGTTAAAGCTGGAAATTCATTTTGATGTCTTAACATGCTGGGGAAGTTGCAACCAAAAGCTGTAGGACAAAAACAGAGGAGAGTTTGTAAATTAGCACGGGGCACTAAACCTCCCTATTGACTCCCACAGAAACTTGTGATCTCTAAGCGGTCAAATATCAGCATAATTATATTGACCGCTTAGATACATCACTTATTATTGACCGCTTAGCCCGAGGACTTACGATTTTTTCCTCAACTTAAAAAAATCTGAAGCCAAATGCTGGGACTTGAACCCAAACTGTCAGATTCTCAGTCAAAGAACTTGGGGAACATACTACAAGTGACAACTGAAAACTTCTGTTAACAGAGAAGTAATGTCCAGTGTAAACGGCATATGTACATTATTATATGTATCTAATATTGACTGAGTACGAGGTCATTATAGGAAATAAAAGCCGAGTAAAAGACCGAGGCGAAGGCGAGGTCTTTTACGAGGTTTTATTTCCTATACTGACCAAGTACGAAGTCAATATTATATTTATCACGACAAACAGTCCGTATTTCAAATTCCAGAACGATAACCTCATGAATCCCGGTTTTATGATTGCACAACCGCGCAACCGTTGCACCACGGCCTACTCATGCAGTGACAATGCTGCACTAGGCACCGCTCAACTGCGCAACCCCTAAGCAGTCAAATATAAGCAGTCAATATAGCCCTAAGGAGTGAAATATGCAGGAATATTAGACAGCTTAGGTATGGCAAAAATCTATGTGAGTCAATACTAAGGGAGTGATAGTTATATTTATTACATCTCAAGACTCGATGGAAACACCGGCCAATGTTAAGAGAGTGGGTGATTGCCAACCACGGCGATAAATAAAAGTAAGGGCATAATATGTATGATTAATATAGTAATCTTTTCTTCCCATAAACGAAGCAAAAAAACAGTTTAGGTATGTTATGTGGTGATAAATCTATTCTTATTATTTCAAAATTTTGAAGGACGCTTCACCCAGCTTCATTAAACTTGAATGGTTTGCAGGCAACCTGCCTACACTCAAGAGAGCACTGCATTTCACACAAATCCATTGGTATCGTTACAAAGTTTCGGTCTTTATGACCATCATCAGGAATGAAGTGGACATGGTAAGAACAGCAGTATAAAAGAAGGAGGCAAGCAAGCAAAGCCCGGTACATAGTGACAGCGCGCGTAGAGAAGTGCAAACCACGTCATGGCGGGAGACCGAAACTTTGAAATGATACCAATGGATTTGTGTGAAATGCAGTGCTCTCTTGAGTGTAGGCAGGTTGCCTGCAAACGATTCAATTATTATTATTATTATTATTCTCAATTCATGGATGATGTGTCAACTAATATTATGAATGAGGGCTACCAGCCATGGAATAAAAGACCAAGAAGGCAAAAATGCACACCCAAAATATGGCAAGTTAAATGAAAATCATTGCCCTCATAGTCGGTCAATATATGAAATATATTGACCTCTTTAATCGTGCAATAATAAATACTTATGCCCAATGTATATTGTCGATCTCAGCTCAAACCACAACCTCCAGCAATATATTCAGCATGGGAACGACAAGTAATTTGGACGAGACTAGTGAACAGATCGACAGCGGGATCAGTGTTGGAGGATTTGTAGGCGGAACCGTGGCCGCAATACTGACCGTAATCGTGGCTGTCGCGTTGGTTGCAAACCGAAAAAGGATCGCTCGTTGGTTCTCTTCGAAGGCCTTTAAAGGTACCCGACCCACTATACTCATTGTATTGATATATTTGTATACAATGCATGGTCGATTTCTTTCTCATTCCACAGTGCTAAATCCGGCAATGGCCAGGTGGCAGGCGTGCTCCAATCCCCCGCCCCTTTACACAGAATATATAGCGAGCTTGTTTTCCCGAAGGATTGCAGCAAATAGTAAAAAAAATTCCAAATTCCAATTTTAGAGGGTCATAGAACGTGAAATATGAGCAGAAGACAAATCCCTTTCGAACTTATGTGCAAAGTGTGACTCTTAAAGATGAATAGATTGCGAACCTTTTCACCTGGTATGTAATTTTCATGATGCTCGCTTGAATGAAGAACAAAATCAAAGATGAAAGTGCAGTTTCAGTCTTTGCAACTCTCTGTGTATTCCTCGGCCTGTTTGTCGTTCTTTGTCTGTCCACCTTTCTCTGTCTGTCTCTTCCTTATCTTTGGAACTATTTCTCTCTCTCTCTTTTTGTCACTCTGTCCCTTTCATTCCCTCCCCTTCCCCTGTCTCTCTCGCTATCTCCGTCCGTCCGTCCGTCCGTCTGTCTCTCTCTCTCTCTCTCTCTCTCTCTGTCTCTCTCTCTCTCTTTCTCTCTCTTTATCTCTGTCTCTCTCTCTGTCTCTCTCTCTGTCTCTCTCTCTGTCTCTCTCTCTCTCCCTCTCTCTCTCTCTCTCCCTCTCTCTCTCTCTATCTTTCTCTGTCTCTCTCTCTCTCTCTATCTCTCTCTCTCTCTTTATCTATCTCTCTCTCTCTCTCTCTCTCTCTCTCTCTCTCTCTGTTTCGTCGATCACAAGGCGACCAATGCGATCATGTCAGCTACATGTGTTGTGGCTTCAAGCGTGTGCTGTTATAATGGGCTTAGTAACACTGGTCATGAAAAGAAATGATTTTTTTAATTAACCTCCGCAAAATAGTAACCTTAACTGTGTTGTGTTTTTTGCCTGTGATATGCTTGATCCAATCTGGAGTTTCAGACGCAAGGCACGAGGTTAGTGTAGTTTGATAAACAAAATTATACGAACGCGTTCACACATACATCTATTTTTGTCTTCTTCATTCACCCGGACACACAGTATCGCCTTTTGAATAATAAATTCCACATGAACACCACAGACTCATGTCAAGCCATGGTGCCGCACCGTCTTCCCCTTGGTTCTGTCTTCTCTTTACGTTAGTTTCTGGACTGTGTGTAACGCCGGTGTAAAAATCATTTCAAACCGTCTAAGTCTGATTGATGTGCATGTTGAACTGGTAAACCTTGGTTACCTGGAATCCCGAGTCGAGGGTCGCCTGCCTAGTGTGCACATTAGCACTCTCGTAAAGGCAAAGAAGCCCAGACCAACAGCATTCTCTTTAATTTATCCGAGATCCATTTTCCGAGAAGACTATTGGACAATTCTCCCTGCATTTTGCTAAGGTATAGCTGACTCTGTAAAGTGTACACTGGCACCAGATTAAGCAGCAATACGACTCTGAGTTTCTCGTTAAAATCAACTTGCCTTATCATTTTTACTTCACATTCGACTCTTAATATCAACACAGCTTTAGATAATTGGAAACTATCCCCATACCTCATGAAGGGTTTTCTGTGTGGTCATATACCCAGCTCGAAAAGAACAAAGAAAGACAATGAAACGCAAACTAGAACAAGTGTGACAACTAATGAGCAGGCGCTGCACCTAGACGCAGCAGTGATGCTGAGCAGTATTAGGCAGACTAGCGAGACCTAATACAGGAACACAGGTACAATGCTGACTCTCACATGAACATACATGTACTCTCGTGGTATCCTTTCCTTTCCACGCAGGAAGCTGATCCAATTGAACTTCACCAGAATGAGGGTTTAGGACGCAATGTTGGCGGACAGCCAGAGAGGCTTCAAAATCTCTATCAAGAGGTACGGCCTAAGTATGACTTAGGATTAAGACCTAAAAGAATGTTTCTGAAAGCAAATGATGCTGTTTTCTCTAGTAGTCAATCCCAACCACATTGCAACTTAGGCAATAATGTAAAAGTGATATGAACAGAGAAGCTGGTAAATTACCTAGACAACATACGAACTAAGCAAACGCACGTCACTAGTAGTAACTACTACTGACGTACGTTTGTTGTCTGGAGATGCCTACACGGGAAAGCTAGTGACACATTGTCTGGACTGTTCGTCAGATATGCTGGCATGAGAACCCGTCATCACAGGTCCGGTGGTCTGCTCAGTCAGCCATTCCCCACTCAGCGGCCAGATCTGCACTCTGGAACCTGCTCGCGGTTGATTTTAGGACCATGGTTCGACAGAAGAAATTAAGCATAGGTTGCTTACCATACTGTTGCTCTGACTAGCCAGCTTCCAGCTCTCCTTGACCACCCTGATACTCCCCTGACTCTTTTGTGAGATCCATTTTTAAATCGTAATAATCTTCATACTCAACAACTTCCAGTCCTCCCTTTTCTGAATGCAGCTTGTCCATTCGCCTCTATATCATTGGACCGGCCAAGCACGTAGAAGCGTAGGAAATACCACTATTGTTACCCATGGTAGTGAAGCAGGCGTGGTGAGATGAGATTCGAGCAATGTGATCAAGCCACTCAAAGTGCTAATGCAGAATTTTAGGTTGTTTCAAATTATTATCCCGTTTTATTGGTCTATTCAAGCCCATTATGCATGGGAAATGGGATTTCAGCTGCTTCACCTGTACAGCGGTTAGGATTCTAGCGTGGGTAGAACTTGGGGAATATGACCTCTTCTTTCGAAATCTTCTGTCCAGGCTGCGTCTCCTTTATCAAATGTACCGGAAAATTCCTACGCTGCAGTTGGTGCTAATAATAGAGACGGGAATGCTGCAGAAGCAGAATCTGACATGACGGGAACAGAATACAGCAACGTCAGTGAGGAACCGGTGACAGTGGTAAGATCTACCATAGATAATTAGGGATGATGCGTTTATTTTGACTTGGATTTTGTATATCTCTTGCCCCCCTTTCATCGGAACCTGTATTCAACTCGGCTTGCTTCACCCTTCATTCGTGCCCTTTTTACCGTTGAAGTCACTGATATCGGGCTCAAAGTGCAAATCTGGCCCTCTGGACCAGTTCGGATTACGATATTGCACTTCAACATGACTGTGTAGATATAGCCGTGCATGTGCATTAGTACCACTTCTAGGGCGTCAATTATGTACTTTGGGTGGGATATACTTAGCCGAGGACAACAATATATTGAAAGGAAGCGATGACAAAATTAACCGTTCTGAGAAGCAAACCACGTGCCATGTGCGCTTTGAACCTGCTTCGAATGTGTTGGGTAGATCAGTATATTTCCTTTCAGCCAACATTGAGGATTTGCAAAGCCGGCTTAATTTCCATACTGATTCCTACAACAACGAGCTGTGTGAAAAGCAAAAATCCGTTATTTTTGTTTTAAGGGACGTACTACCACTATCAATATTCTTTGTGTGAGTGGTGAGGCTTCCTGCAGCTTCATTCATGAGAAGGGTTTTCAGCAGACCCGCTCTTTTCCATTCACTCTAGAGCAAAATCGTACTCGTTCGCCAATTAAATTATTTACAAATTAAATTACACACACATGAGAGGGATGAAAAGTGTTTCTTCTGTAACTCTGAGTTTCACGGTTTTAACCGATCATCAGACAGCAACTTTCTTTCAGTTTTTCAGTTGCTGTCGGATGATCGGTTAAAACCGTGAAACTCAGAGTCACAGAAGAAACGCTCTTCACCCCTCTCAAATGTGTGTACTAGGCTCTGCACCTTGGTGTATTGAGCACTCTCACGAGCAACCACATCTCCCTCCGAGTTTACCAATTAAATTATTCAGATGGAGAGGCAAGGTTTAATTTATACAAAAGAGAAAGACGAAGCTCTTGGAGTGCGCATCCAACTTGTGCTAGAGCTGTTAGCTAGTTAGGTGTAGAACGTCAGTACCGTCGGTCAGTGTCGTGCAATGTTATCGCATGAGGTGATTGTTAAATATAACTGGTGGTGTTAGTGAACAGTGTCAGGGGACAGTATAGCGTACATTGAAGTTCCTTGGTCTTTCTCTTTTGTATAAATTAAATTATTACTTTAGTTTCGGCCAACTCGCCGTCATAAAGTACGCAATGGTGTGCAAGCTTGCAATAATCCGTCACCATGCCCCATTGCATGTCCTCCCGGTCGCTGGTGTCCTCGTCGTCGACATCATCATCTGTTTCAGAAACGATGGAAGTGTGGGTGGCGGGTATTTCCCGGAGGTGTCAAGGACGACCGCACACGTCCCTAGATGCGCTTACAACGACGGCAGTGGGCGCAACGATTATCACTAAGATGCAGCATTGATCTCCGCGTAATTGCCTTTAGGTGGAAAAACCTTGGCAAAACCAGTGTCTTTGGCAGCGGGAGCACCATCAACTGGTGTGTCTCTATCAGCAGGCTCAGTGACACCGCCCACAGCAGGATTAACAGCACCATCACCAGCAGAGTTGACAGCAGGGCTAACCAGCGGTTACTCCAGAGTCAACAGCAGGTGTCAATGGTCCCGTCATCTGCAGAGTAACGGAAAGTGTCAAAGGCAGTGCCAGTACGGATATCAGCAGGGACTACACTGAAAACGTCTGACTGTGAAAGAGTCAATGTTTGATCTGTTTATCTGAATAGACATCTTCTGTAACCAACCACCTCACCGGGAATGCTGATTGTGCTTATGTGTATTTTGATAGCCCTTCCCTATTTTTCACGGACCACGTAACGTGGTCTCGCCCACCAGAAAGTGTTAGAAGTTTATTATATTTACACTTCCCAGGCATCATTGTGTAAACTTAAGAAAAATGTTATAACTTTCAAGTTGTTTACTGCTACTTCTGATCCCGCTAGTTCTCGTAGCGACCAATTGGTGTTTGGCTTTGCACAATGTGTGTTTAACTTCCGCTTGTCTTACTTCTCACCTTCCTTTTTCCCACTTTCCCTTTTTCTTATCTCGCCTTCTCAGTTCTGCAAAAAATCCTCGATAAATTTATCAGCTAGTTGTAATGGTTCCCACCCTTGTGCTGTTACTTGTCTCTTATGTATTTTTGATTCTGGTTGGTTGTTTCGCATTTGAAGAGAATGCCCAAACACTGGTTCATAGATTTCGGAGTACTTGATGATGATGATGTTGGAGAAAAGCTCGAGATTTGCAGTTTTTATTCCAATTTTGAAGCAATTATCCGGTTTTAGAAATTAATTAATAAAATATTTTCTGGTGTCAACTGGGAAGTTCATTTTCATTAATCATATTCTTCGCCCTTTGCCTGTATTTACATCGTTATTCCCAGCCCCGCAATCTACCCGGAGCACGCGTAATCGCGACACACATGATATCTCTTATTTAAAATTGCAGAACAACACTCGGTCAAAAATCCTTTGTGCTTCGTGCTGCTCTGTTTTTTAATGCTCTACCTAATGACTTGAAATCCTCTTTGTTTACCTCTCAGTTCGATCGTGGTTTTAAGCGCTTATTGGATGATCCAGTTTGGTTTGAACGATATCGTACAATTTTGTTTGACAACGTTGGCAACGTTTAGTCTCTCACCAGCTACATGTATATATTGCCCAGGTTCATTCAGCATACGTGTTTCTTCTTTTCTCTTTATGTTCACCACTCATCCCCTTTTTTTTTGCTAAATATTTGAACATTTACACTGATGTATGAACATTTACACTGATGTATATTATACATTGTTTATATATTTATTTTTTTATATATATTTTTTTTGGTCCCATCGGCCTCTTCATATTTGTGCAGCTGCACTGTTGAGCTTCCGATGTAAAACAAAAAATAAATAAAAATAAAAATAAATAAAATAAATGCAAGATTGTTACCTTGGGCATAATGTTATTGCCTCTTCCCAATCTTCTCCACAGGCTCCAGCAGCGGGTGGACAGAGGCATCCCTACGCCCAAGTTAGTCCTCGAAAAAAAGTTGTGAAATCTGCAGAATCGGACTCTGCCGTGCTGGGAGCAGAAGACAGCAACAGCCGCGAAGAATTGGCGAGAGCGGTAAGACAAGTTATCAAGAGGCTATCACAATTCTCGATGCCAGTTGTTTTCCGGCCTTGATCCGAGTGGTAGGATGTAAGGTCCTCCGACACAGCACACACACACACACACACACAGCAAGGTCAAGTCTTTATATATAGTTATGTTCCATTAATCTTACGCGTTTCTGCCTGTAAGGCTTCGTCAGAGACAAGGATGAAATAATATGAATAAAGACTAGTAGTTATATAGGGCTTGATTCTATGTGCCAGATGGGTGCTTGGGCCCTAAATGCGCTATCAAGCAAGTTTAAAGGCGCAATAACTTGAGTTGCAGACAAGTGTAACAAATGACAAAAAAGTTGTACAAGTTGAACTAATGTACTAAACCGTAAGACTGGGGGTCAAATTATGCGGTCATAGTACCAGAATGTTTGTACAGAGTCAAGATCGTGCAGAATCAAAAGAGAGCGGGAAAAAATGGGCGGGAAAGTTTAGGTGGGAACCAGAAATTTCTGGTTCCCACCTAAACGCAGAGCGTTGTGCTCTGCCAGTGTCAGTGATTTGTACAATAGAATGTAAGCTTAGTACTACATGTAGTAGAGGAATCTAAATTGTACAAGATGAATAGAACAATTGCTTAGTTCTCCTGAAAAAGATTTTCCCGTCTTTCATAAAGGATTGTTTAATGAGAGCTTTGTAATCATTAGTAATGAAATGTGGATGGTACTGAGTAGTAAATACAATAGTATCAGATTTAGGCTTGGGAGTTTTGCTTTCTATAGCATGATTCATTACAGTAGGCAAAACAGCAGTGAATGAGCTAGCCAGAAATTGCGGGGGATAACCTCTTTTGCGTAAACGTTTCCAGAACAATGATCTTACATGTTGAATGTCAGCAAGTCTTGAGTTTGTTCTGTTGTAACGCAGCAGCTCAGCCTTGATGAAAGCACGCAGATTAGCTCTTGGGTGATCGGAGATAAATGGTATGTAAAGGTATGCGTTGCGAGGTTTCTGGAATGTACGAAACTCAAACACACAGCGATCATTGTTAGATGTTTTGAAAATTTCCAGATCCAGGAAGATGCAAGAGTCCGAGGGCAATGTCCAATTTAATTTGACACTTGAAAGCTCACTGTACAGAGACGCTTGCAAAGCTGCTAAATTAGCAGATTCTTCGATCACTAAGATAAGATCATCAATGAATCTATTGAATAAATGCATGGATGACTTGAATGTGGTAATAGACTTCATTTCATGTACGAAAAGGAAAACGTTGGCCACATTAACGGCCATTGGGGTACCCATGGCCATTCCGAACTCTTGGTGGTGTAACAGTTCCCTGTTAGCGCTAAGCTTATCTGCCCTCTAGCTCTGTATCTTGCACCTTTCCCTTTCCTGTCAGCACGCGCGTTATCACCTTAGGGCACGAAGTGCCCTATATCAGTTGTGTTGCCTTGAGCAAGCATTGTCTTTTCCAAGAACACCTTCAAACGGTTACACTGGTAGCGGAGGATGGTTAACATGGTGTTCTTGGAGCTCGCCATTGTCGTGGCAATCCTTGTTTTTTCTGTGTTGCTATTCAGGTTGGCCAGCGAGGTCTGTGAAGCCAGTCGCCAAGTCAGCGCCCGTCTGAGCAACCGACAACAACCGCTCCCTGTGCCGCCCGCTCATTCGTCCGGGAAGCCTCGGCACGCTAAGGAGCCGCCGATCTTCGATGGCAAGCCCTCGCAGTTCAAGGAGTGGGCTTTCTCCATTGAGCTGGCGATTCGGTCACTGGGAATCACCGACTCATCGGTGATGGTGGATTACGCAGCGGGCTTCCTGAGCGGCAACGCCAAGCTATGGCTCATCGCATCGTTGGATACGGGTGTGGAGTTCTCGACGTGGCCAGCGCTGCGTGAAGCCCTCGCCAAGGTGTATGGTCCGTTGCATCATCAAGAGCGGGTGCGACTGGATCTCTTCGCTGTCAGGCAGCACTCAAGCTTGGAGAGCTATGTCACCGAGTTCTCGCGCCTAAGCCTACAAGTGCCTGAGATCGACGAGCTGACCCGAGGACTGCTGTTCGTAAATGGACTGCACCCATCTGTCAAGACCCGGGTGCTGCGAGAGCACCCCACTGATCTGAGCCAAGCGATCAGGTCAGCGCAAACGGCGGACCAACAGCCGAACCCGATTCAGCACCAAAGGCTAACACCGGAGGAGAGGCGTCACCTGAGTAAGCAGGGTGGATGCTTCGCTTGTCGGAAGCCAGGTCACCTCGCTCGGGATTGTCCCAGCAATCAACACCCAAACGCTGGTCGCCAGTGAAAAATGGCGTGCGCTCGCTGGCGACCAAGGGGAAAGCCCCCAACGGTTACCCGGTTGACATACGCAACCGTTACAGCGTACTAGAGCTGGAAGAACCGACGCTGCAAGCTGATTCGGAAGATGTTGCCGAACAGGAATCCCATGTCAGCAACGTTGATATCGCAGTACAGGACACGGAGCTTCCTTTGGAGCATGACCTTCTCCGTGTTGAGGGCAGGATCAACGGCCGCCGGGCAATTATGCTTATTGACTCGGGATCGACGCACGACTTCATATCGGAAGCTTTCGTGCAAAGAAACGGCCTTGTTACGGAGAGCAAGGACGAAACACTGAAGGTAACCCTGGCTGATCGACATCATCGGAACTGCAGAGGACCGGTCCGGTAAAGGTTATCGTGAAAGACTTCAGCGACACCCAATCTTTCACAGTTTTTCCGTTGAGCCGCTATGATGCTATCCTGGGCAAGCCATGGCTGACCAGACACAACCCGGATATCAACTTTCAGACCAACGAAGTCAAACTGAACGGAGAGCCGCTCGTTGCTTAGGGCGCGCTCACACTGCGACCAAAACCAGCGTCCATGCGGCCATGCGGCCAAGTTGCATGGCAACGGCATGAACTTGACCAAAACGTCGCGGCCACGTTTCAAATCGTGACCGCGACCTCCGGAGGGGGGTGCCACGACTTGGCGGCAACATGATCGTAGACGTGATGCGTATTTGTGTACAACCTGGCCTGAAGTATGTTCAATTTCTCGAATTCCGGTGTGTTGATTCATGAAACTCGGCGGTTGTCGATGTCATCCTCGACATTTGCACAATTTTAAAATTTTGTAGTTGTGGTCATGCACGTACGCACGCTCCGCCATATATGCAGTCTTTGCCCTTTTTGGACGTTGTCAATTTTGTTTTTGTAGTTGCTTCGTTGCCAGTTGATCGGGTCAGTGACCAGTTTCTACAGTGTACTCGTTCAATACGATGGTAGCTTGGTCTGTCTTTTCGGTTTGGGAAATCATCTTTCTCTACTTTTCTGCGATGATGGAATGCCATACCTCAAGATATTTCAGTTACATATCATCGGAAAATAAAGTTCTCATCTCGGCAACAGACAAAAGAAACCACTACCGGAATTTCCACTGCACTGGCACTTGCTCTGACCACGAGGGCAGGAAAGCGAAAGCGCTTGGATGTCAGCGGCAGCCCCTCAAGAGTCCAAACCTACATGGTTGTGTGAATTATTTTCGTCGACTTCAAGAATACGAGCCACGAGGCACTTCCTCCAGCACGCGAAAAAATACATTCAAAAACGGGCCACAACTTTATTAGGAAACGCACGAACTCTTTTGGATACGAACTGCAATTCGTAAAGTTTGTATGACAACTTCACGTCTACGCGTGTACGAGGCCTAGTGTGAGCACGACTGCCACGTTTCTGCGTTTTGCTGACGCATGGACGCGTGCTCATGGTCGCAGTGTGAGCGCGCCCTAAACCCCCTTCCGGCCAAAATAGTGATACGGAGCGTCAGGAGTCGCCGCCAATTGAGAGCATGCTCATATCTGGTTCTCAGGCTCGCCGCGAGTTGAGGAAAGGCGCGCAGGGAATCCTGGCGTGGGTCAACGCTACTGACGACGAGGAGGAGGACAGCAAGCCATCAGCCGCCAGACAACACCCAGATCATCAAGAGCAGCTGGCTAACCTTCTGCGGCGGTACTCGGACATCTTTCCAGACGACCTGCCGACCGAGCTTCGGCCAGAGAGGGATGTCGACCATGAGATTGTGACTGAGGAGGGTGCCGTTCCTCCATCACGGGCTGCCTACCGTCTCCCCAAACCCGAGATGGACGAATTGCAAGCCCAGCTCACGGAACTCCTCCGCAAGGGCTTCATCGAACCCAGCAAGTCACCATACGGTGCCCCAGTCTTTTTCGTTAAAAAGTCTGATGGCTCATTGCGCATGGTTTGTGATTGGCGGAATTTGAACAGGATCACCATCAAAAACAAAGCTTGCCTCCCAAACATTGATGACCTGTTTGATACCATTCAAGGTAGCTCATACTTCAGTAAGCTGGATTTACGCTCGGGATATAATCAGCTTAGGATCCGTCAGGAAGATGTACCTAAGACGGCTATCAATACTCCCTTCGGTCATTTCCAGTTCCGGGTTATGGGCTTCGGATTAACTAACGCCCCTGCCACGTTTCAGTCATTGATGAACAGTATTCTCCAACCGTACTTACGGCGGTTTGTGGTAGTGTTTCTGGATGATATTCTTACCTTCAGCATATCCTGGCAAGATGATCTTGAACATATCCAGACAGTTCTTGAGACGCTCCGGAAAAATAGGCTATTCTGTAAGCAGTCGAAATGTGAGTTTGGTGTCAAGGATGTTCTGTTTCTAGGGCATCGCATCGACGGTGAATGTATCGCTCCAGATCCAAAGAAGCTTAAAGCAGTGAGGGAATGGCAGCCACCGACGACAGTTACGGAGGTGAGACAGTTCCTTGGTTTTGCGAACTACTTTAGAAGATTTATTGAGCACTACTCTACTATATCGCGGCCATTAGAGGAGATCACTGGCAAACATGCCAGGTTCGAATGGAGTGGCCCCCGTCAGCATGCATTCGAATCCCTGAGACAGGCCTTGTTGAGTGCACCGCTGTTGAAACTAGCAAACGTGCAGAAGCCTTTCAGAGTTGCAACAGACGCAAGTGA